ATGCTTAGTTCTCTCAAAAACTGCAATTTTTTGCACATTTACCTCGGTATCGAATGTACCTGCCTTTGCCAAAAACTAATCACCACTTCTCCCCGACATCACAAATTGAATGTTTTTGGATCATTTAAATCGGATGCTCCGTTCTCTCAAAAACTCGACTTTTATTTTCTGCATACTTTGCTCCGTATCTCTGAAACGACTGGACCTGCCTTTGCCAAAAACTAATCAGCATATCTCCCGATCAATAGTAATCGAATGTTTTTTGAATCATTAAAATCGGTTGATTCGTGCTCCCGAAAACGTGGACGAAAAATTGTATCCATATATACATACACACACGCACACATCTATTTTTTCCGAGGTATGCCAAAATGTTCCTTCAAAACGTTAAGAAATGCAAAAATTTTCATTTTCGATTTTCGGCCCATTGCTATAACTACCCTACGGGAAGTTAATTAATAAATTAAATACAGTTTTAAATCATGAAGTGATATGTTCATTATGAGTTTTATGCCATATATCTTTAAAATGAAGTTGAATTTACTAAATTGAATGATTTCTAACATATTATCAAGATAGAGAAATGGATAAAACTGATCAAGATGCACAAATTCTTAGAAGGTACATTAAATTCTTTATCAATTGATTTTATAAACAGTTGACTTACAATTATCTAAAATTACGAACATTAGATATCAAGTTTGATCAAATTTCATAATCTGAGGTAAAAAAAAATTTCCTGGACCTCAATTAACATATATTAACAAATAATTTAATCTTCAATTGACATACCAGGGAGAATTTATTACCTCAGATTCTGTAATTTGATCAAATTTGATATCTAATGTTCGTAATTTTAGATAATTTTAAGTCTTAATTTTAAGTAAATCATCTGTTTATAATATCAATTTCAAATGCAGGCTGAAAAACAATTTATATGTGAAATTTTATTGAGATACATAATATAAATACTGTTGAACTCCGTTAAGACAATCATTCCCAATACAATTTTCCGTTTAATACGCTTCTTTACGCAAATCCTTGCACATTGAAATATTTTGTCGCTATTCCGTTCGTTTAAGACGCGTTTTTTACTGACCGGCTTTATCTAATTATATATAAAATGATTTCTCAATAACTGTAAAAAATCAGTTAGTTAAACCTCCATAAGCGGTCAAAATACTTTTGAATAGTTATTTTGACATTTTCTTAACCGTTTAGAAACGGTTATTTTAACTATTATATTCCCAAAATACATTTTTCGAGTACTCTCCTGTTGACCACATATTTCATAGCCCAAGCCCACACGCAATGGTACAATACAATATTTGCACTGAGGGTCTTTGGGGAATCATGTGACATTTTTCCTCAAATTTCAGTAAATAATAACCACCACCACCTACCAGCAACAATTTTTTGTTTATTTTGGGAAGATAACGCGAGACGAATGCAGATGCTCACATTGCATTTTATTTGTTAGATCTGCCTATTGTGAGACCCGTAGCTTCGTTATTGTGTACTGACCCTGAATATTTTTGAATAGGAGGACTACTATTGTCCTGGCACACCTTCGGTGTCAAATTTATTTTGACAGGTAAATGTGCTTAGAATAATTGATATGTCACTACATTGTGTCTCATTTTTAGACCCGCATGGAGAACGCTGGGTAGGATAATGTGTTTTCTATGAAAACCTCAAATTTCGTAGAATATTATTAATGATCTCTACCAAAATTTATTTTTAACAACATAAATGTTTTGACTTAAATGAAAATGAAATTCAAACCCTTTTAATCTTAAATATAAATCGTTGTAGTTTGCATAAAATTTACATCTTATTGAATATTTTTTGTTGCTGTGGCTAGATAATTTTATTAATTATTTTATTTGAATGGTTTTTGAGATTTTTTTTTTAACTTTCCGTAGGTTAAGTTATTATAATCGCCCAAAATTCGAAATTGAAAATTTTTACATTTCTTCACGTTTTGAACGTTTCGATTTCTGAACATTTTGATATACCTCAGAAAAAATTGATGTGTGTGTGTTGTTTGTATGGATACAGTTTTTCGTTTACGATTTCGGGCGCACGGATCAATCGAATTGAATGGTTTAATAAACATTCGACTCCTATTAATAGGAAGGAGATGTGCTGATTAGTTTTTGGCAAAGGTAGGTCCAGCCGTTTCGGAGATACCTAGCTAAATGTGCAAAAAATGACAGTTTTTGAGAGAACAAGCATCTGATTTTAATGATTCAAAAAAAAACTTTCTGCTTGTATTGACAAAACAATAGATTTTGGATTTTTTTTTAATTTAAAAAATTTTCTTTTGAATAATTCAAATTTTAATTTTAATTCTAACTAAAGCTTTAAAGCTCACTTATATATTTCAAAGAAATAGTTTTAACTTTGCAATTCAGTTTATATAATTCTTATAAGTATTAGATTAAATTTCGTTTATTTATTTTTCTGTAAACATGTATAAGTTACAGTATTTATAATAATCTATTTGAAAACATTTAAAACTCCTCGAATATTTTATTAAAATACGGGAAGTTTCTGCAATTTGTCTTAAGGCACAATGCCATTTACCACTAGTTTTAATTTCAGTTACAACTGCCTAATAAATCATCAACTAATCTTAGATAATTTTGACGAAACAAAATATGGCTTACAATATTCAAAATAATTTCTTCTAAATTTTTACTTATTGTTAGATGTTCAAGGACTATTTAGTCATAATTTATGCTGTACTTTTTATTACTTATGCATTTGTTATGTGTTTCTGATACTTATTTTGATTCTACATCATTCATCTTAGTTTATTCACAAAAATAAAATGTATTTTTTATCACAATTTAATTTTTATTTAATTTCAGTATTGTTTAAATCAGTGGCTTCCTTTTTGTACCGCGTTTTTTGAAAAATAAATGCTGCCTCCCCTTTAATTTTTATAAGAATCTAATTTTATAAACAGTCAACTGATACAATTTATTTCTCAGGTCACAAATTAATCTCTAATATTATATTTAGTTTCAGTCATATTTAAATTAGTGTAATCACAATAAATAATATATTTAATTTCAGTCACAATTTAATTTTTATTTAATTTCAGTGATGTGTAAATCAGTGGCTTCCAACCATTTTGTACCGCACCTCCCCTTTAGCAAAAAATAATGCTGCGCCACCTTTAATTTTTTTAAGAATCGAATTTTATATACAGTCAACAGATACAATTTATTTATCAGGCTACAAATTAATATATTATATTATGTAAAGGCACACATAAAAAAATTACTTATTTATTCAGTTATTTACAGTAGAAGACTTTTAGTCGGTTTGCTCCCCTATCGGGCGGTAATTATAAAATTAATTAGGTTAATAAATAAACTACAAAATCAGTGGGAAATACAAACAACAAAGCTTATTTTATATTTCATAATATAACAAAAATTTAGTGTATCTGGTCGTGGGGCTACGTAATTTGTAGAACAAACTTTGTTCATGAACCTAGACAAAACGGAAATTCCCGTGAATACAACGATTACCGAACAATAGCGAGTCCTTCCGAATGATTACAAACTACTCCGAAAATAATCTAATAGCTCTCAAGCGTTTTTATTTGCTATAAAGGCACATTTTTGAAGAAAAAAAATCGAAAATAATCAACCAGGCATTCCAGACTGTTGGGTGTCGGACTAAAGGACTTCTACTATATATCATTTCAACGTTCTTGGTTTATTTTTTTGGAAACTGCTGTACGCCCTCTTTGCAGCAACTCTGCGCCCCACAGTTTAAAAATCATGTTTTTAAATACTTCAACAGAAATATAAATCATCTATAATTGACAACATTGTTAATATTAAACAGTAAAATTTGTACAAAGTACAGCAGTATTTTATTTGCTTTTTATGGTATATTTAATTGCTACAGTTATTTTATCAATTGTATGGTGGAAATGTGGAGCTGAACCTGTCTTGGATCCAAAAATTACAATAAATAAATATGATATTTATATTTATGTATATTATATTTTTATATTTGAATACATTTCTCTTATTTCTTATTACAACTCGGAATTAATAAAACCATTATTCATATCATTGTGATGCTTTATGAATGAATTTGAATAAGTTATTTCACATGAAAAAATATTACGGGTTGAATGCAGAGTGCGTATGAGGCAGTTACATAAATCATTTCCAAGGCAAGTTATATAAATTATTTTCTTCCTATAGAAATGTTCTATTCGTTTTTATGCTACTACAGTTACGTTATCCTGCAACCGACATATGGTTATTCTAAAATATAAATCATCCCAGGAAATCCTCCAGATTTTTTACCAGTATTAAATTACTGAAATTACCATAAATTGCAATGAAAATTGAATCATATACATTAAAATTATAAGTATAAAAAATTTAAAAATTGAAACTTAACCCTGAATCTGAAGTCATTTCATTTAATGAATAAATAAAGTGAATATATCTTGATTACAATTAGTTGTTTTATCATCTGATATCTCTAGTCAAAACTTATTTATTTTTATACATATATTTATTAGGATGACTTCAAACAGCTTATTAGTTGGTAATTTTTATGATATATCTACCAAAAAGTTTTGTATATATTAGAAAAAATATCCCTCACCAAGATTGCATTAGATTGACCGAATGTTATTTTTTCGGATAACTTTTCTGAAGGAAATTTGTAAAGATAGCAAATTATGTAATTTTTATAAATGTTGAAATAGTATTGGATTAATAAAATTATAACATCTAATATTTTCAAAAAAAAAAAAATTATATTAATCAATAGAATTTAATGACTATATTATTATTGGCAAACTGGTGCACTACTGATCCCGTTCATTAATTTAATTTTTAACGCATTTTGGAACCTTAGATAAATTTTCAAATTAGAACTTTTATTTCATTTCCATCGCTATTGTAACTATTACCTTTATAGTTTCCTTTATTTAATTATTATTCCTTCTTTTTCAGGTGCGAAACCAGGCCTGGTGCCAAATTTGTTCTACGCTCTTACGAGTTCCAACAAAACTTCTCGTTCACTCTAGACCTGCACCACTATCGAGATGAATGGTGCAGCACGCCCATGTTTTCGGCCAGGGCAATGGGTGCCATCACCGACGATTCTTTTATCATCTTCGAAGTCAAAATCATTCCTCATAATGCTTTAGTTGCTAGGGAAGTCCAGGAAAAGGTCAACAAGGCTTGTCCAGGTTGGTTTGGATACAATGTCTAAGTTTATGTTAAATTAAATGTTAGAAACTAGCAAACCCGACGAACTCCGTTCCGCCACCAGATGGTTTCGTGAGAAAGATGAAGAAATTTTTTGTTTGTTCTATATTTGAAAAGGAAAATTTTGATTTTCTTACACAACAGTAATGAATTTATTTCGATTACAAAAATGAAGTGTTTTTTAGTTGAACTTCTTTAAGTAAATGAAGTGAATCCGCAAATTATCCGTTTCATTGAAGTGCTCTTTGATAAACCACATTTTTTGTTTTATGGTCTGACGTTAACACAAACAAAACGGATGGCTTTCCAACTTGTGAACAGGCAACGTATAACTGCTCATGTCAAAAATAATGATTTTCTAAATAATCTATTTAAAATTTATCCCGCAAACACTAAGCGATTGGCCTTGTGACTTGTTAATTGTCATTGCGAACGCAAGGCGAACAGCAAATTGCAATCGTTTGAAGTTAAACGGAAACTAGTCGGAATCATTGGAATGCCACCAAATTCTCACTAATATCATTACTCGAATTTTTAATTACGGTGCGTGATGTTCCAGCAATTAGCATTTAGGCACGATGCCATGCACGCATTTAGGCACGTGAACCTTGCGGAGCCCGAGACCTTTCCAACGAATGCAAAATTGTCGAAATTGGTTCGTGCGTTCTGCAGTTATATCGTCAGAAAGGAATACCCAACTTATTTTTATATATATGTAGATATTTGACGATGATGACGCATTAAATGCCTTTAATGTATGATCCACATTTTGTTTTTGATTGCCAAGATTTATTAGATTGTTCTTGGCTTGAGCGATATGTTAAATGAATGTTGTGGCATCTAAAACATGTTAATTCAGTTTTTGTTATTTGTACTTACAATTTTATATTTTCAACAGGATTTTCGTCACGACACTGGCGAGCTAACCGTGAATATATTCTGCAAGGAGGCAAGCATCGTTCTCAGAACACAAATTACCATACGTCAAAGAGGTCGAGGTCCAACTACTTCGATTGTGCTCATGCATTGAATTTACAATTTGGCGAATTATCAAAAATTCGCATACAAAAAATCGAGAACAAGTTAGAACTTCTATTAGCTGATATCCCACAAAGTGGTTCTACCACCAAACCCAAAGGTTACCAACTGCCTTTAGTGAAGATCTACGATGGTAAGGTATCTACCAGTGAAGTCATTAAAAGTTCATCACTGACTGCTGATAATATTTTGTTGGATCTTTTTGAACCGGCACTAATAACACCGGATCCTGCTGGTTATGGACAAGACGCTTTTGTGCATATCATGAGGTCTAAGAAAAGAAATACTTCAGTGTATCCAAGTATGGATAATAAAAAGTTGTTTAAAAACTGCGCGATTTGTGAAATTATCAGCCGTTCTTCAATTGCTTCGCCACCTTATTTACCGACCAGGCCAAAGTTGCCAGTGTATTTGACTGGACACTGGACATCCAGGCGTTGTGAAAGCCATCCAAACGGTGGATACACTATTAGGCAATTTGAATTCAGAGAACAAAATCGTAAGTTTCATGCAAAATTACGTTACTTTGAAGATCACAGATGCGAAAATGCTTTATACACCCTGCAATTGCGTGGAGAATATTATTTAGGCATGTACAATTCTTTATTAAGAGGAAGTACTGACGTAGACTTTTATACTCATAAAACTATCATCACTATACATGACGAAGGTTTATTAGAAGGCGTCAACAATCAACTTCGAGGTATTCTAGATAGACGACCAAAAATTCAAGAATTTCGTCAACAATTTTACGCATTCCAGTCGATTTTTGCTCGCAATGTCAAGTATTGCGATGAAGAATTGTATGAATTGAACGTGCCCATAGTTCACGCACGAACGAATTGCAAAATCTACGGATTAGAAAATTCATTTTTTGCCAAAAATGTGCTGAAATTAGAAGTGGATATGTATGGAACCACGCTTTTGTCCATGGGCAAGTTGGGGGTTACTTTTGCAAACGATATCATACACGAAGTGGAACAATTTAGGCATCCAAGTTTTAGCAGTTATAGTAATGTGATTGATAGGGCTTCTTCTTATGGAATGCCTTTAGAACATTGTGAAAATGTTGAAGCTAACTTGGAGCAACAATTTCTTGGCATCAGCTCAGGAAGCAACCTGAGGCTGAATGCTGTTTTAATTCTACTTTGTGCTGTGATATTTTTAAATTAATTCATTAAATCTTATAAAAAGTATATATTGCACATATATTATTTGTAAATATTTATGAACGCGCCATATATTAGTAATAGTTTCTAATATTTGTAGAATGTAGATAGGAATTGAGGGCCAATTTGGAAACCAATGGTTCACCAAAAGAGACTATAAGTATAGTATGAGTATAGTATATCAATGAATTTCAAATTAATAGTTGGTTAGTACTAAAAAATTTGCACTAACATTGCATAACATTTATATAAATTAATTCGCCAACCAATACTAATTTATGCATTGGTTAGAAAAAAATTAAAAATGCCTTACAAAAATACCAATGATTTCAACAAAAATATAGATACTACTACATAATAATAAAAGTAATCTACAATTAAGCAATTATGTTTTAATTATTATATTATAATAATTGAATCATAATTTCTTAATTGGATTTTATGAGTTTCAAAAACTTAAACCTGATGATTATTTTTTTAATGAGAAATAATTATCAATTAGACTAGCAATGTATATATTTTTATGGAGGGAGGGACAAAAGTCAACTGTAATAAGACTGATTAGATGAAAATACGTTTCTTTATTAAATGTGTGTTTAATTATCGAGCAATAATTTTAATTAAAATGTAAATATGAGTAATATATAATATAGTTAATTATAATTAATTGAAAGCTACTAATTGCTTTCTAAAGTGACGGACATTGCCCAGTGTTATTAGATTGTATACATTTCGAGTTAAAAATAAATGTTTTGTATGCAATTTATATCTTGCTATATGTAAATTCCATAAATATTATACATATAATAATTAAATATTTATGGGATGTTTGGCATTAAATATTTGTTAGAAATTTTATTCATTAAATTTAATATTCAAACAATGTGATATATTTATAAAACAAATTATTAAATAGCATTTGTAGAAATTAAGTTTTGAATTGATATATGAATGATATTCTATGTAATAGTATAAGTAGATTTTCTATTAAATGTTCTTACGAATATTTTTTCTAGATTTTATAGTGCTTTCTTTTGTAAATAGTTTTCATATGAAATTATAAACTTTTTGTATTAAAAACTGGTTTTATTTTGATGAATATTTTTTTACTTTTGTAGATTTCTTAACAGAGCATAATACGAATAAGCAGAGTTGATCATCTGAAAATAAATAAGAATTTAATTAGCTCCAAAAAAATATTATAATATGATTAAATAATTATAAAAGTACTTTTGCTATTATTTTATTAATTAATAACTATAACTTTGTCTTTAAATAGATTTTGTGACATTTTCATTTCAACTACATAGATCATTTATGGGATTGAATTAAATGAAATTGAAGATATTAGAACTTTTTATGATAATTACATAGTTTCGAATGAAAATTGAAATTTATTCTATGACATTAAATAATTCATATTTTTGTCATTCATAATTTTGTGGCTCAAGTGGTTAGAGCAGTGATTTCCAACCTTTTTCAACCACGCCCCCCTGCTCTAATAAGAAAAAATGGTGCGAACCCCTCATTTTTTATAATTTAGTTTTGTAAATACTCAACTGATCAGACTACAAATTCTTACACAATTATATGTAAAATTATGCATAAAAACTAATTATTTTTGGTTGATTTTTTAATATCATTTCAAAAATTTTAGGTTATTTTCGAAAATAGTATTCTATAAACCCCTGAGGAGGCGCGCCCCAAAGGTTGGAAACCACGGAGTTAGCGCTTTCACTTTGTTCTGTTCCTGCCTTGAACAACCTGATACTAGGCAGTAGTGATATTTGAGTTTACTTGAAATTATAGATCTGAATATGATTTATATCTGAGAATAACTTTTTGGAGATATTTGCATATTTAATTTTCAAATTTTTAAAGTCTGGTCAAAATAATAATCAACAAAACAAGACTGAACAGCCGTTGGGTTGCCTTCTGAAAAAACTAGTCCTGCCGTTCAGATTTTTTTTTACCGAAGTACAAGTCCGCATATCCAGAGATACTAAACCAGATGCTCGAACTTGAATGCATCGTTTTCCATTTTCCATAAGAATATTTGAAATAGTCATTTTACTTCGGGGTGTGGTATTTTTGTTTGCTATCATTTTTGCATCAGAAAATAGACAAGAACTCCATTCGCTTTCATAAAGAGCGTAATTCAACTGCGTACTCTAAAAAAATATTAATATTATTTCATTCATGAGATAAATATCACATTAAAATGTTTTTTATACCATATCTTTAATTTTGCTTCCATACCAGCAAGGTAAAAATAATTGACCGACAATCATTATGAGGTACACAAAGTCTATGGTGAATTGAACTCTTTCTTTTTGAATAGATAACTGCAATTATATAAAAAGGATACACAAAGAATACATTTATTAAAATAATATTCATACCACTTTTTTGAATAGCAAATAAATATTTTTTAAATAAAAATGTTTAAGAAAAATGCTATTTAAAAGCATTTGAATGAATTATCAGGACTTACGTAACCGATAACTACGTTTACTCCGAGGTCCTACAAAATGAATATGCATTTATGATGAATTGCCTTACGTGAAGTACACGTGAATAGAAATAAAATTACAATTATACTTACAACTTATTTATGTACAAATAATATTATCATTTATAATGCATATATTAAAATATATTATTCGAATTGTGAAATGTTTATTTCGAACTTTGGATGTGTGGCGAGCATAGCTCTTTGGTAGCGTGTTCGATTCACATGACAGGGGTCTTCGGATCAAATCCTGTCAATGACATAGAATTTGTGAAAAAATAATATGTGTAGTTAATTTGAAATCAAATAAAAAAAATTGTATTTGTTAAATAGAATTTGAATAAAAATTAAGAAAAATAGGTATACAGAATTCGAACAGTTGAATTGATTTAGGAGTAAGAAGAGGAATATTGGAACTTGAATGAAGAAGAAGCTGAAAGTTAAATAGAATTAGAAATTTGAAAAAGAACAAGAATTGAAGAAAATAAGAAGAAGAAGAAAAATTAAGAAGAATAGAATAGGATACATAAAATAAATTGAAAATGATATAAAAATTAGAATTGTAACTAAATAAAACATGTTGTAGGTGGCTAAATGCTCAGAGTAAGCGAGGCCAAATAAAAATTTAAAATTTTAAAAAAAAAAAAAAAAAAAACTTTGGATGTAGAAAGCAGAAATTAAAAAATCTTCTTAAAATTAGTGCTTGGAGAAATATCCATGATGTTAACTAAATATTTATTATGATTCTTTAACTTAAAAAAATATTTAAACTACAGTGCAGTTTTAAATGGTCTATTATAAAAAATCATTTTTGTGAGCAGTGCAGATTATTTCAGCAAAAAAATAAAAAGTTAACAGAGCCTCACATGTGAAAGATGGTAGCCTGTGAGACATAATAAAGCACCTCCAACTAAGATGTGAAAAAACATAGAAGATCCATACATTTGTTGTAAGTTGTTAGTTAACCTATAATAATGGATAAAATTTTTAGTTTTTAATATAATTTTAATATGTGTTTTTTGACTGCTTTTAAATAGAAATATTAATGAAATGAGATATATATGCAGTGGATTAGGCTTTCTGCCGTCATATGCCCTATCTGATTCGGCGCCCTTTTATTGGATAAAATTTTACTTTTTAATTTAAACAAATATTTTTATATTAAATTGCTCACAATTAGATATAATTTTTGACTTCACGAAGGGAAAGTTATAGTAATCGCAAAAAATGATGTTTTTTGCATAAATTCACGTTTCAAGGTCAACATTTTAGCATACATGTTTCTTTTAAACATATTTTACTCAATGTGAATATGATATTAAGTTAAAACCATGAACTACTATTCTTTTTACTATGACGAATTTTTGCTCCCATGGCCCATTAAAATGACCAAACCTGCCTTTCGCAAAAAAGAAAACAAAGAATTTTAATTTTTAAAGTTAACTTGTATGGTTCAAACATTTGCTTCATACTGATCGCGAGAAGTACTGGTTAGTTTTTGCGAAAGGCATGTCTAGACGTGTTAAAAGTTCAGAGCTTGTGTTGACATAGTGAAGAAATAATTAGTTTTTGAGGATGGCAGGTTCAAAAAAATTTCAACAACTCGGCCAATAACTACGAATAACTAATCAACACAAGGTTGATCACAAAACGGATTCTATTCTATTTTTAGAAAATGGAATGAAATCTGTAAATAGAATAAATAAAATCTGTAAACTTATACAAACAGATTAGGATCAATCCTTAAAATTAATTGTTACAACATTTTATCGGGTCTAAAATTTTGACCAACTGAAAAATTTGCCTTCCTCTCAAATTGCGCCGCCCTAGGCCTGGTTAGAATCTAGTCACTCAGATTTTGTTGGGACAGCATATATTTAAGATTTAAAGTAATTATGTTTATTACAATTTGTATAGCAGTGTAAGAACTATAGTAAATAACTGTAAATTTTACATACAACTTGATTTTCCTATGATGCTTCACACAATTCACCACTCTTTCATCAAAGCATTGCAGACCTCCATCCGATTTGATGTTCCTCAACTTATAAGCCAATAACTCTAATTGGCCAATAATCACTGCCATAATTCCCATAATGAAACCTTCGATCACAGCCATTATTAAAGCTTGGTAAATTAAGCTTATGCACTGATAAACATAAATCCGTTCATAAATTGGCGAATATTTGATTTCAAACCAAAACCAAGCCTTTAGAGGCAGCACAAAGTCTTTGCTGCTCCCATCCAGCAATGGAACTGACAAATATAAAATTGCAGCAAATACGATCCAAAAAATTAGCAATGTTCGGACTTTTGTAGCTTTTTTGATACTTTTCCTAATTATTTTGTTCGATTCTTCATCTTCTGCTTGAAACTCGTCTGATGATAAAAGATTTATGATTTGGTGGAAATACTTGTGGTTGATGTACGTGCCGATTGTTTTTCCTGTTGGAATAATTATAATAATAAATTACCATTCATGTGTAATATTTGAATGTAGTTTTATAGTTGACAATGTAAACTAAACATATAACATTCGAAACAATTAGAATTAGAATTAATTCTTCAATCATTTTTTCATGTTGATGTATTCTTTTCTAATGATTTCTTATTTCTTTAAAATTTAGAACTTAACTTTTTTTTAACTTCCTGTATGGTAAGTTATAGTAATCGCAAAAAAATTGAAAATGAAATTGTTTATATATCATTACGTTTCAAAGCTTTCTGAACATTTTGGCATACCTTAGACAAAGTTGATGTATGTGTGTGTGTATGTGCGGATACAAATTTTTGTCGACAAATTTTGGAAACACGAATCAAATTTAAAAAACATTTGATTTATATTGATAAAGAAACGTACTCATCAGTTTTTGGCATAGGCAGGTCTAGCCGTTTCGAAAATACGGAGCAAAAAGAACCAAAAATAGTAATTCAATTTTTGAGAGAACTAAGCGTCTGATTTGAATAATTCGAAAAACATTTTATTTATATTGACTTTATAGAGATTTTGATAATGTGTATACTTTTTGTGTCATTTTTTTGGGTGCGGTACCAAGATTTTTTATTTAAAAATTTAAATATTTGGTTCAAACAAATATTCTCGACATTTTCGACAGTATGGAATAACCGATTTGTATGATTGAAAAATCATTCGGTTCTTATTAGATTGCGAGGCGTTTTTGCAAAAGGCAATTTTGCCGTTTCGGAAGTATGGAGCGCAAAGGGTGTAAAAATGGTTATGCAGTTTTTGAGAAAACGGATCATCCGATTAAATTAATTCAAAAAACGTATTGCATGAGTAGACGGTGTGCAAAAAATGCTTTTACAGAAAATTTCGAAATTTTGAATTATTTTTAAAAAAGAATTCAAAATATTCCAAAAAATTCGAAGTTTCAAAAAATTCAAGTTTTCGAAATTTTTCATTTTCTTAATAAATTAAATTTTAAAAAATATCAAAAAAATATCAAAATTAATTAATTTTAAGAAAATAAAAATAAATACACAAGACCATATTTTTATGTACCAACCTGCCATATTAAGAACTGTTAAGAAGATATACCAGTTATCAATAAGTTTTTGCAAATTTCCAATTGAAAATACAGTTGCATTTAGAAACATTGTTAGGAAGCAGCAATGAAAAAATAACACATGAAAAATAATCTTATATATTGCATAAACAATTTCTTTACTGTTATTAATTTCAACAGATAGTAAACCGCAAAAACGCCATTGCGATATCGTACTTTGCACAAAATTAATCATACTTTTAAAATTTGTTAGCGAATTCTTATAAATATGGGAAAATACTGAAAGTAAAAAGTATATGCGCATTTAATGATCAAAGCAAATGACAAATTAATTAAACATTAATTACTTGAAACGATGTATTAATCTACAAATAATTACTTATACTTAATTAATGAGTTAATCTTCTTCTCATTTTAGGATACAAGAAGGTACATTTACAGATGTGTATGTGTATTATACCAAGTAGATTATAATCAAAAAGTTTATGTAAAATTAATTTAATATAAATTACTTTTTCCGTTAATTACGAAATATATTATGTACACCTGAAAAACATCCCTCGTGCATAAATTTATCATTTCGCGACGGTTATTAGCAGCTAAAACTTTTCTTTCATATAATTCCTAAAGATGAGGAAATAAATTGTGGGATTAGCATTTGGCAAAAGTTTCAAAAGTGACACCGCCGTTACTTAAATCACGTTGAACAATGTTTTTATTGCAGAAGATATTGATCGAACTGTTAGTTAAGGGTTGTAGCTTGGGAGAGTAATTAAGGGCGGATGGCAAAATAGTTTTACAAATTTTTCAAAAATATTTACTCACAATATTTTTCCAAAAAAATTTACTCTCAATATTTTTGCAATATGCAATATGCAAATACATTATTTTATAACATTTAGTGCTGACTATAATGTGAAAAATAAAGGTTACGTAGTGGTAAGTTTCTTTCGTGAAATGAAATTCAGAATTAATCTTTTTTTTTGTAAAATTACAATATTTCTATAAGCTAAAGTGAGTATTAAAATAAGATAGGATCCACTGATCTATCTTACAATATGTTGCTTAAAATATACATCTTTATTGATTGTAATTATATATTCCGTAGAGGCCATTTTCTCTTCATTCTTGAATTATGTGCCATTTGTTAAGCCATTTCTCTAATATGGATATATAATTTTGAGTCGGTTGAGATGCTAATAGGAGATTATTATTTCTGAATAAAACAACAGTATCATCAACAAATGCAGCTATAGTAAAGTTAGGAGGTGTCGGTATGTATATTGTAAATAACACATATAATAGCGGTCCCAGGACGCTGCCCTGCGGGGCACCTGACTCTATTTTGAAGAAATCTGACGTTTCTGCGTTCACTATAATCTGGAAGGATCTGTTTTCTAAATATAATTTTAATTATTTGATGTATTTAACTAGAAAATATTTTTTAATTTTATAAAACAGCCCAGGCTGCCAGAACTTATCAAAGGCAATGAATCTTAAAGAAAAGTTATTAATAATTTTGTGCTTAAATTTGCAATCCTGCTTATCAATAATCAATTTAATAGTTTCAATGTGTACAAAAAAATCCATTCAAATACATAATCCGTGTAGATATTTTATTTCAAGAAATCTTTTTATACAAGTAGGTACTCTTCTAGATGAAAAATATATTCTGAATAATTCACTTTGGCTGATGAATATTAGAATCATTACAAGTCTAGACATAAAAGCATGTAATATCATAAGTTAGAAAAAATATATTCGTCCGAATATACAAGGTAAACATGCGGCTAACATAAATAAATTTTCGGAGAATCATCTTTGCATGAAACTGCTCGGTTTTCTTGTCTGCATTTATAAGAACTTTTTTATTTCTGGTTTATTTGAGAGTTGTTCTGGACCCTACGGCAGCTGCCCTTTTATTGCCAATCTGTCTACATAAAGTATTTCATATATTTGATATGTAAAATATAAATTGATAGTATAATGAATTTTAATTTGACCTTGGTTTCTAACAAAATCTTCTAAAGTAGATTTATGGGCCGATTCTGCCGCACAACAGACCAATGTTATGGCAAGATAGATGTTTTATAATCGATATAAATAAATATTTAACTAATAGCAAACTAATATTATCCAAAGGTTCAATCTATATCATTTATTTTGTTGATCGTCATACAAGATTAGTTAACGTTAATTAAAATTGGCATGTTTGCAACATGATGTAACAAATAGTTTGTAATTTTTTATCAATTTATTCCAATATTAATTAGGAAGGTTAATTGATCAAATAACATCTTAAATAAATTTAGAGATACTCAATTGAATTAATGTGTTTAATATGCTAATTTTTCTTTAAAGGGTTCAAAATTTTATGAAATCGGAGCACAAGTTTTTCGAGAAAATTATGGCACACATATTTTTTCATTTTTTAAGGAACATATATCGATTCAGAATCACTTATACATTGAGAAAAAAAAATCATCGAATCGAATTTTGAGGAAAAAGATCATTTTCTCTTCTGGAACATAATTTTGAAACTTATAGGACAATAGTGTCTAAAATTTTTAGCTGTTAGGGCTTTCAATCATTTGAAGTCATTTACAATAAATTTTTGTTTCTATATATAAATGATGGTCCATTTTTAAAAACTACTTTGAAGACAATAAGTGTTTTTGGGACTACAATTATTGCATGTAAATGACTTTTGTCATAAGTCATAACCCCAAAAAGGAGAGTACTTTTTACGGTCCAAGTAATTCAGTATAACCGGAATGTTTATTAACCCTTTCCACTCGGATGCCGCCGCTCCTTCGGCATAATTTAGGGGCATATTTGTTTGTATTGCAGTTCTGTTTTTAAGACTGAGAAAGCTTGCATTTAAGTGCATGGTAAACCTATCCCTGCAAATATAATAAAACTACTTGAATGAAGCCGAAATAGAGTGTATATTATAAAAAGTATTATGAAAAGTAATAACTTCAGTATTAATTATTATATTAAGCCTGTTCACTCAAGCAACAAAATATGTGCTAAATTTGGATTCCCTGAGTTTCCTCTCAGTTATAGTTAATATAGTTAATTAAGAAAAGGAAGATAAAATTCGAAAAAAATGCAAATGCCACTTTCGTAAATTAAAACAACGGTTATTTTGTAATTCCGAAGAAAAATTATTGAAATGTCACGATTCGTATTACTTTGACACCGTGTATATCTACATTTTACTCAAAAACTTTTATTTCTATACATCCTTTATAACTTGTTTAATCTTTGGCACCTATTGTATAACCTAGTCCTATGCAAGAATTCGTGTGAATTGATACGTGTGCCGCTCAATACTGTATTGGATTAACAAATCTCATCCCCAAATAGTCAAATTGACATCATACTACATTTTAAAAAAAACCTTTCTACCTTTTCGTTTCATTCTCAATTCAACTGCTACCCCAATCTATCAATTTAATACTTTAATCCGCGCTTACAAGCATAACCCTCATACAATCTATTATTGTATTTCCTGCGTTGTTATCATCATTTTCAACCCCTTTGAATAGTAGATCACATATGTAATAGAAAAATTTACATATGTGCCTCCAAAACAAATCGATAGCTACGGCCCTGCATGGAAAAACAGTGGAAATGCGCATGCCCCAAAAAGTCGCCCCCCACTTTGGCGCGAAACAAAACGTACACAGTATTTGCCGTGCGAGATTTGCCGTGTACCACTGACTCTATTAGGGCTGGCCATTTTGTTCTAGACGATTATTTGTTTATCGATGATCTACTGACTGATTGGATTAAAAATAGATTTTCAACTAGACCGATTTGTGAACATGTGGTCGATACTAGATTTGTATATACGAATGCCGGTTAAATTCTTGTACGCCGAATTGTTTAGATAAAATAAATAATTATTCTTATATAACACTGAATTAGAATTACAATGTGATTTCTTCTTATAGTTTTTTAATTTTATTGGCCTTGCTTACTTAGAGCATTTAGCCATGTACAACATTTCATTTTTTTTATTCTGTTCATCTTAAATAAATAATCTAATCTTGCTTTTTCTTCTTACTTCTAATATTTTTATTCAAATTCAACTCAACTTAATTCTGATTTTCTCCAATTCTAACTTTTGTCTTGCTTTCTTCTTTCTTCTAATTTTATTCAAATTCAATTTAACAGTTCTAATTATCTTTAATTTCAAATTAACTATTTTTAAATTCTACTTTAGTTTTATTTTTATGCACTTTCTAATTAACAATTTAATTTCTTTTAAACTTTTGCATATTTTTTATGTAATTGCCAAGAATGACAGATGAGCTATTCTCGCCACCGATTTTTTGTTATAAAGAACAATTTTTATTGTCAAAATTTTTTATCAATCACAATTTCAATAAAATACATAATTGATAATTATATAAAAATATGTGTTTTATAGGCCTAAAGTGTAGCTTCCTCGTTGCTTAGTGGTTGGACTTTTGGGCTTTTAATCAAAATGTTTCAGGTGTGATAATCAGCTCCGATAGCTTGATGTCAAGCAATAGCGGCATCGGTTATCACTTGAAAATATGTTTTCAAGTGAAAATATCTTTTCCCCGGCATTATTGAATTAAATTAAAAATTATCACATCAAATAGGCCAATCGTTGCCTTCTAAAAAAAGCTACGTAGCTATGATAACAACAGCTCATAAGACTACTATTTTTTATTTTTGTTTGAAAACATAGAAAAAAGACTAAAGACATTTCACTCAGTTTGATATATACTGCACTTTTTATTTCGGAATTTGCAAAAATACTTTTATCATTTTTCTCTAGCATCTTCTAAAAATTCATTTCGATTTATAGAAATTTTTTGGGTATATCGATTTCTTTACAAACTAAATATATTTTTCTTTTAATTGATATATAATATTACATTTTATATTTTGGGATCTGCAAAATTTCTTTACTATCTATAAGTAGTAGGTAAACTTTTAATCCTATCTCTCAATCATCTTCAAAAAATTGATATCATTTTGCAAAATTAAACAAATTTGTTATAAAAAAGTTTGTTATAAAAAATATGATTATAGAAAAGTTTTTAATAAAATTATTATTTTTATTAGGCTGTTGGAAATTTGCAATCTGATATGGAAACACTACAAATTTTGTAATCGAAATTTGGATTAGATTGTATAACAAATAATGAAGTATTGTGAAAATTTATTGGTTTAGATGACAAGCCTAATTTGATTCTTAAAACACTTCAGTAATTCGATTCACAATTTACAAATTCTTTAAATGTCATATTTAAAAATACAACTTAAATTAACAAAATCTGAATGGCTTAAGGTTCAGTACTAATATAGAAGCCTAAGTTTTCGCCTATTTGGAAATCTTTTTCTTGGAGTCACAGATGTCGATAAGTTTCAAAGTACTAATTTAATGTTATATTTGAGTATATTATATCCTATAAACTTTCTCATCTCAGAATCAAGCCTATTCCAATAATTAGTATAATAATTAGAAATAGAAAAAATCACCTGAAAATTATAAAATTTTCACGTTAATCACTCGAAAACCATAAAAGGACAGGCGAGTTGGTTGAGAAGTCAATTGCTATACAATTAGAAAGCAATCATAGATTTAAGTAAATGAATTTGAAGAAACATATTAGAAACAAAATAATTTTTTTTTTATGCAGAAGCATAAAATATTAATAAACAGTAGTCTGCTCGAAGACAGGTCCATGGTGTGAAAGGATCACAAATCAACGATTTTTTCCCTTGTTTATTATTTCCATTGCCATTAAACACCTTTTATTCATTTTTATGGGTTTTTCCTTCCAAACTTCTGCTTCCATATTTTTTGGTCCTGTGTTTCGTCTTTCAGTTCTCTGTATTCTTCTTCTCGCGTAAGTCATCAATCATCTGCTATACTTTTATTCCTTTAATCAGAAAAAATCATAATATACATAAATTTTATTTCAGGAAAAGCAATTTTTTCAAAAATTTATTTTTTTCAAAGTTTTGAAATTTTTTTTATTAATAATTTAGTTTTCGGTACGGGCTTACAGCAATTTGTCTTAAGGCACGATACCATGCACCACTAGTTTTACCTTCAACAACATCGTATAAGAAGCAATTTTTTTGCAGACTTGGTCCAATCCAGTTTCCTCTCCTTTTCAAAATTGTGTTCAGTTTTTCTCATTTGTAACTTATTCATCATATATCTGTATATGTTGGTAAGTGCATGTATGTGTGTTGCGTAAGTGTTGATATGTTAATATGTGATACCTTATTAATTAGGAACCTATATTTAGAAAAAAAAAATAGGTTTTTCTACTCTATTTCGAGATTCAATTTTAAAGTCAAGTGCATAAGAAAACAAAAGTGTAAACCCTGTCCTGCAGTGGGTTGGGGCTTTTCAACCCCTCATTTTGTTGCAGTGAATCTGACCTTCCTCTCTGTCGTCTCTTTGCGCGATCACTGCGAAACATTTTATTCATGAACAAACGTTTGATCGTGGGGCTATCAAAATCTTTCACACTAAACGAAAAAATAGTGCAGTTACGTGCCGCATAAAACAGATCGTCTCGAGGTACGAGGCAAGCACCCCACAAAAAATGTGTAAAATATATAGGTGAACAAGAATTACGTTCTCGGGGCTTGTTCTGTGAGTTATGTGCTTTGTGGAATACTTATTTATTATTAGATTCGATTTATGACTTTCGGAAATATTGAGCACAGTGTTTGTTTTGCCTGTGTGTGCAATGTAACGAATAGGTGCAAAGTTTTATTGGTTAAAATTGAAGTGAAGGGTGTAATCGGAATATGATAGTTTTTTAATCAAATTTTACATTTGATAGTGTCAATTTATTTAAAATATATAGACAAATTGTCATAAACACACAAAATGTATTTAGCGATCCATAAGCGTAACTTGGTGCTACCTTTAGCAGTTACCTTGATTCTTCTAGCGTGCATCGCATTTATTATTTTAGCGCCTGCAAAATTGTCATTCGATAATCTAGATTTGAACAAAGAACAGTTTCTAGAAAACGATGACAGTATTCCAGATACCGTCATAAAAGTTTATGATATGAACAAAATGCGTAGTGATGAAGTCAATGCAGATTCTGCTAGATGGACCGTGAATACGTGGCCGAAGGAGATCATCATAGACAACGACGAACCTAGTGATTTTGTGAATTCTGCTGATGATTATGAAGAAAAAGACGACGAAAATTCTATCGACATAGACGATAACAACGTTGAAGAAGAAAGTGAAACTTTGGAAGAAAAAAAGAAAACTATCAATAGTGTTAAGCAAGCCGAAGTTAGATACATGCTAGATCTACGTGGCTCTGATGAATCTGATTTCGATCAAGAAGTTTCAGGAAACTACGCTGATCCAGATCCTGCAGCAACTGATTCTTATTTTAATAATGGAGAAAGCACTGTCTCATTAGAGGTGAGAGCAAGAAGGCTTCAAGGAAATGCCAGAAGTGCAGCCGAAAGATCAAAAACGTTGTTGTGCAAGGGTTTGCAGAAAGGGGAAATGTGTAAAATTTTATTCAAAAATCATAATGATGTAAATTAGATAAAGAAACTGAAGATGGTTGGACGTATATTTATTATATGTAAATGAACTTATGAATTTGAATAACACTTGTAAGAAGAACATTTTCTGTGCACCAAATAATTGTAACTAAGTATAGTAGAATTGTGAAATAGAAATTGCACTATGTCGCATCATAGTGCTATAAATATTTCATACTTTTCAAATAAATTTTAGCTCTAAAGCAGTGTACTCTTTCAGCATAATTTTAATCATACTTTAATCATTTTATACATTTAATAACTTAATAATTTGTTTTTAGAATAAAAATGGTCTAATAGTATAATATTGATAATTAAAATCTTATTCATGAAATTGTTTGCTTATTATGCTTATTAATTATGATTTTAATTATCAATATTATACAATTATACAATTTTTATTCTCAAAACAATTTATCAAGTTATTAAATTGTCTTCAAAAAAATTATATTTATTAAATTTTAAAGAAAAGGCATAATCACCCTTGACTAATTAATAATTGATATTGGTATAAATGGTATGAAAGTGAATTACACCTATAAATAGCATAACGAAATTTGGTTAAATCATTTTTAGTATAAAAGGAAAACTCTTAAATCAATGATATTTTAATTTTTTTCATTAAATTACTCTGTATAATTAACCCAGAATAAACATCTTGTGTATTCTATAATGAAACTTTTTAAATTAAGAGATTAAATTGAGCATTTAAAGGGCTCTTTGTGGGATTTTTAATCAACTATTTGGTGTCACAAAAAATGTCTTTCTCACAAGTTATTGAATATCTATAGTTATAAATGAGCGGAATAAAATTAAATTCTATTTAACAGTAAAGTAAATTATATTGGCTACTGCTTAAAATAATTCTAGTCAAAACCAAATGGAATATAATGCAAATAATGTCTATAATATATATTATGTATACGTTAGTACTGAAAATATAATTTTTCAATAGATATTTAAATTTTTATTTAACAAATTATATTTTTAATATCACATAAAATAACAAAGTTAAAAATAATTTCACTATATATTTATTGTAATGAATTTAATTCTATAAAAATATTGAAGACAATCTTTTAGTTATGTATTTTAATGTGAATATGCACTGTTATAAAATCACATAATATCGTAACATGTAAATGATAGTAATTTTATTTCGGAGTAGGAGTTAGAATGGGACCATTATCAAAAGATTATAATATAAATTTATATCATTACAAGTCATAGTACTGATATATGTTTATTCAGATGTTAAAAAATTTATAAATATATAAAAAAACGTTTTTTAATATTCATCCATCTTGCAATTAAAAAGAAAAACTAAGTTATGCTTGAAAGAGTTCAAGTGAGTTTTAAGGTTGGAGTCTTTTTTGCAAAACTCAATTAATATCAGTTAATTATTAATATCAGTTTAAGTTGTCTTAATAATACATAGTTTTTTTTCATAAATATGATCGTTAAGTCCTTTGTTAATTTTATGCCATTAATGTGTTCTTTTATTTTTTAATAATTTCTGTAAAAATATAAAACTAATTATTATTAACATAACTTATTTTGCTTTAATAGCTGGATGGATACCTATTAAAACTGTTTTTTTATATATCTTTATACAAATTTATTATTTCATTTTTAAATTCTTATTTACATGTGCCAAATATATAAAATATAAAAGTCTATGTAATAATATATCTTAAACTAGAATATCTATTAATACTGTAATCAAACTTACTTATGATAATGAAATGGAATAACTAAAAATTTATTGGCAGATTCTATAGTGTATTACTACAGAGATTTATAAAATAAATATGTTTATAAAATATAATAATAAAAATATGTATTTTATTTGTAATGTTACAGCAACTGTTTTAATTGACATTATCTACTCTTCGATAATCAGTACAAATAGATGGTGGAAAGGATATTTGATTATTTGGGTATAAATAAATTTATTTTAAATGTCATACATCATATATTATTTGGAGCATTATAATAAAAAAGTAATACGTAATTATAAATAATATTTGCTGCAATTTTATCGGTATGGATAAATTAAAATATAAATTCTCTAACTTTTATAAACTGAAAGATATGTTTATTTTCTTGACGTTTCAAGTCATTCTGAATCGTTTGAGACCAAATTTGGTAAAAGTATGTAATTGTGTGTGAGTGTGAACCAATTTTTGATCTATCGTGGATGTCTTTTCAAAAACGGCTCTTTTCTTTTTTCTATGACTGCAATGATATCAAAAATTTTAAATCCATTCCATGTAACTCGATTAAGACTCGCGTTGATTAGCTGATTAGTTTTGTACATTGCTCAGTCCAGCCGTTTCTTTAGAATTAGCAGAGAAGTGCAAACATTTTCAGCAAAATTTTAACCAAAAAATCTGAACCAATTTTAAACATTTTAAAACCAATTCAAAGCAATTTGTGCTGAATGATTTTAGGTAAAAGTTGATCGGTCCGTCTTTCAAATTTAAGTATTTTTCTTTGCAAACTTCAGCTTCAATGCTTCCTAATCCTGCGCTTCGGTTTTCAGTTCCCTGTATTTTCTCTTCCCGCGTAAATCGTCAATCATCTGCATTCTTTTTTTTTCTATTCCTTTCAGTCCTTCTATTCTATCTTGGAAAACTTTGTTTGATGATGGAATAAATCCAAATAAGAACTTCCCAATTAAAAAAACCTAATCAGTTATTTATTGTTATTGTAATATTTGACTATCCGTAGGGTAAGTTCTAATCGCAAAAAATCGAAAATGAAAATTTTGATATATCTTTACGTTTCAGAGATTTCTGAACATTTTGGCATACCTACCTTAGAAAAAATGGATGTATGCGTGTGTGTGTGCGGATTTAAGCATTAGATTTCTATTGATAAGGAAACCCATTGATTAGTTTTAGGCAAAGGCAGGTCTAGCCGTTTTAAAGGTACAGGGCAATGCAAAAAGTGCAAAAACGGTAACTCTGTTTTTAAGAGATATTTTCCAAGATATTTAAAAAAAAAAAACATTTTTTCAAAAATTTAAAATTTCTCAAAAATCTAATTTTCTCAAAGTTTAAAAAAAAAATTAATCTTTTTAAAAAAAATAATTTCTGGTACGGGAAGTTAGAGCAATTTGCCTCAAGGTACGATGCCATGCATCACTAGTTATCATTTATTTGCGATAAACTACTTATCATGAAACAGTTTATCATCTTAGCTACTTATCATCAAAGAACAAAATCTATCCAAGTTACTTATATAGTCAATGCTTTTCGAAGTATTTATTTTACAGCGCCTGGCAACACACATTTTTTGTGTTTTGATGCGTTATTCTTGGAACTGGCAATATTTGACTATTTTGTGCAAGGTAATAACGATATTTGTGAATTTTACGGTTATAAATATATAAAATAACTGAATTAAAGTAATTGTGTAGTGTATAAATTTACCATCTTTATGATAAAATACATTTGTTTATTTCAGTAAAAATATAAAATGGATAACGCAATCATTATCAATGATAATGAGTCAAACAAAGAAAGTGAAGCTTTCACAAAAGTGATTAAAAACGATGAAGGTGATGCCTTAGGTACTTCTTTACCCATGGGTAAGAATATTATAGCAAAAATGCCTGTGAGCATTGACTCTGAATGTTACAATATGGAACATAAACACAGAGGTCATGCTATAATATTCAACCACAAAACTTTCAATGTGTCTCAACTCAAAGAAAGGCACGGCACTGATGTTGATGGCAATAATTTGGAGAATATACTGAAGAATTTAGGCTTCAAAGTGGCTATATGCCATGACTATAAATTCAAAGATATGTATAAAGTCTTAGAAGACTTAGCTTCCATGGACCACACAGATAATGATTGTATCATCGTGTCAATTTTAAGCCATGGTGAAATGGGTACAATTTATGCTAAAGACACTCCGTATAAATTAGACTCCTTACTCGGCATGTTCACTGCAGACCGATGTCCTACACTCGCTGGTAAGCCCAAAATATTTTTCATTCAAGCTTGCCAGGGTGATCAATTAGATGAAGGTGTCACTCTAAGCAATCGGACAGAAACAGATGGATCAGCCTATTCATATAGAATACCTTCCCAAGCTGACTTTTTAATAGCTTATTCCACAATTCCTGGCTATTACTCCTGGAGGAACACAACAAATGGTTCATGGTTTATGCAGGCTTTGTGCAATGAATTGCAATTAAATGGTAAAACAAGGGATTTGTTGACTCTTCTTACTTTTGTTTGTCGTAGGGTTGCTACTGACTTTGAATCGAATACGCCTGATAGTATTATAATGCATCGTAAGAAGCAGATACCATGCATAACATCTATGCTCACTCGGTTAGTTTTCTTTCCTAAAAAGTAAGTGATTTTTTTATTACCAAATATTCAAATTGACACTTTTTATTGATTTTTTTTGTTTTGAATAAGGTTACATGGTCAAAAACTAGAGATAAAGAAGAACCCTCTAAAGATGTTTTATAATAAATAAAAATAAATTATATACTCATCATTGCATAAATCTGTATAATATTTCTTATACGACTAATAACAAGTAAACTTTTGTCTGAAATTGATTTACATTTAATATTAGATTTAGATTGGCTTAGCTATGAATGAAAATGACTTATCTTAGATTTTACTTACTACACAAAAGACATTTCTTCTTTGTCTCTTTCAACTCAGATTTTAGTATTATAAAGTCATGTTTTAATATGAAAAGTAAGAATTAGGATTAAGCTCATAATATTTTGTACATATTTAAATATCTTTGTATGAAGGACCAATTAAATGTAGATAAATCTAAGTTTTACAGGTTTATATGGCCTTGTTTATAAGAATAATATACAAAATTGTACAAAATATTTTGTGCTATCGAGCAAATACTTGATTTACCACTCTGACAACATTGTGATGAATTTATTATGACAAAGGGTTAATATTTTTTTTTAGTTTAGTTATTCTAGAATGTACAAATTACATGCGAATTGACCAGTGCATTTTATATTACTTAAAAACTTACTTAATCAAATAATTATAGTAAGTCTAAGCATTTATTTTACATTTTTGACAGTATTCTTGACTTAAAATACTATAAATTTAATTCTCAGTGCATTAAGACAACGGTAGACATTAGAACTTTTCTAGAAAATTATTAAAGAATAATTTGTTCTAAGTTTCAGTGATATTAAGAGGAAACTAAACCTTCAACACACATATATTTTAATAGAAATTAGTTAATATACTTAGGTCACGTGTTATTAAATTCCTTCATTAGTTTTAAACAATAATGTGCAAAATAAATAAAATTACTTTAGTATAATTAGGATTGTTTCTAATCATTTACACTTGTGATATTTTACATGTGCAAATTAAAGGGCCAATGTATCGACTTGAATAAATATTGTGCCTTTGTAATTTACATTAAAAATCATTGTGAGTAGTAGTAATAAGATATAATTTTACAAAATTACTTTCATAATGAACTTGTTTGTGATTGTAATTTATATTTTTGCATGCAACAGCCATATCAAAAATTGCATTTAAATGATCTCTGTAGTCTTCACTCAGACTTCTATTTAAAATATAGGATTTTGTATTTTTTTAATGGAATAAATGTTTATGTCTGATAATTAGTATTTTATTGTAATCTTAATATTTGCTTCATTAATTAATTATGTTCATGACATTTGAACTCATGAATAAAATTTTATCATGGAGTAAACATTTGGTCATCAAAACAAAATTTTAAATTTTAAATTAGTTATCCAAATTTTGATTTGTCCACATATTTTTCGGCTTTTTTTGCCAAATTATTCTAAATTAATACGTTTTTTATAATTTCACATCATGGTAAGTGATTTATCTAATTGCATAATTGGAAAAGTATCTCATTTTGGGGCATTCATGACACTGCCCGAGTGAAATTTTTGAAATTTCATCACAGTGATATAATACCAGGAAGAAATTGCAATATTCAATAAAATTGGACTGAAAAGTTATGTTGGTGCTATAGGAATTGCTCGATGGTTTGAAAATATTGTGTATCGTGTATAAAAATGGATTGTAATATTATTAGCACGAAGAACAGAATTGTGGTTTCATTTCAGTAGAGAAAAAAATTTAAAGTATGCAATTGAACTATGTTGATAATAGTAAATTTTAAATTTTCTATTATCAGCATTTAGATTAATAATTTAATGGTGTTAAATAGAAAATATTTCGCATTGTTTGAACGTATAGTCACGCCTTGTGAATTTTATCACTCATGTTTACATAGTAGTTATCATATTTTAGATTGATGTGCTGAAGTCAGTATTGTTTTGAATTACTCATCATTGCATAAAATGTGTATAATATTTCTTGTACGACTAATTTAACCAAGACGGAAATTTTATGATCTATTGAATATTCAACTGATATCTTTCGAACGGCTTTGAAATTTTCAAATCGATTGAGGATTTTTTGCGAAAACGTGGACCAAAAA